GGTTTTAAATTGTTTCCAGCAAACAGAGAGGAGAAAACAAAGGTTGTGTCCATTTGATTTTCTGTTGCTGTAGCAAAAATACAGGTTTCAATCAAATGTACCCGTGGTTAATAATAGCAAATAGAAAAGGAGAAAAAAAAAAGAGTCTTTAGAACATTTAACAATGAAAACAACCAAGAAAAAAGAAAGGAGTCAAGTGGTCGTGGAGCAAACACATGAATTACTGCTTCATAAATCATTACAGTACTTCATGGAGTGGTGCTGCCACCTCGATAAGGTCAAGATGACAAGAATCCACTCAACCTAAAGAGTGGGTTTTAAAAGCAAAATAAATAAATAAAAAATAAAAAAGATTGCCAATGAGGAGGGCAGCTGGTTTTCTAATAATAAAACTCATAATTTCTCCAGGGAGAAGAAAATTTACAGGCATGTTTACACTCATCTGAATGATTTATCATCTGTCCCTCTCAGGGGTCCAATGAATTTAATAATCAACATTAAGTCAGCATTTTGTTGATCAGAGAGAAAGAAAAAATGGCTTGTTTTGCATAGCAAATAAAATTCTAAGTCAACCTGGTCTTCATTTTTAGTAAAAAGCACTTAACATATTCACAAAAAAAAAAACTTCACTTTTGTCTTTTTTTACATTTATATTTTAAATGTAGTTATTGAGAGTTCAATTAATTCTTACAGTTTCCCCTTGAGGGGAAAAAGATTGGAGGGAATATGCACAGTTGTGTCAGATGTGTTTGCATATCTGTCATCATGTGTATCCTGTGTGTCCTGTCTGTATCTCAGATGTTTGGAGCAGCTCAAAATGACAATAAAACTTATGTTCTGATATATTTGACCACTTGGGGGATATTATACACTGTGTTTGGAGAAATGAATGGTCAAAAAAGAAACATTCCTGACACAGCAAACCACTATGTATTGCACCTGTTTTGAACTGTGCGTAATGAGTAAAAAGACGCAAGTACCCCTAGGCCACCTTTTTTTTCAATAAACAATATAAAAGAAAATGGGGAGATTTTTTTTAAATCTGCTGATAAATAAAATATTTTAATGGTAGAAATAAATTTGCCAAAAAAGGCATCTGTAAAGCTGAAACATTAAAAGAGTTACTCATGTTTAGCTTTTAAAACAAACCAATTTGAATAATCTTTGGGGAATTCCTATTGTCTGTTTGGTGATCTCTAAAAAAGGAATATGGTTAATATCTCTATTATCTGAATTTTTTACATTGGAGCTCCATTGCCTTTTTTCAGTGAGTTGGAGCCTAACAAAGGTAGGGAGTAAATCAAGGTGCCGGCTTATAGGCCCTACACAGAGAAGCAAAGGATTATCTTAGAAACTTCAAACTTTTCTCGCTGACTATTTAGCAGTTAGGTATAGCTGAAATAAGATGCAGAGATGCTGTGCTTAATTTGCATTAGTGAGGGTTTTGATGGTTAAAAGCCTTTATAGGAAAAAGATAAGTTGCTGTAAAAGGGATTGCAATTCAGCTATTGAATCTCATAATCTTGTATTCATTAAATACAATTTAATTAAATGTAATCCTGTATGCATCTTCTCAGCATAAGTTAGGGCTTTAAGACTTATAATTAAATATTCAAACGAATGAATATACATAAAAACAACAGGCTTCCAAGGCATTACAGCTGTAAGATGATTAGGATTGTCCAGAAGCTTCTTGCACATTGGCCTCAAAACTTTCACATCATCTACAGTGATGCAGGGCTTTACTGAAAGAATAAAGAATTTTGCATGTGAAATAAGTATATAATTTTAAAAAATACATCAAGTGCAAGTCCAGTATCCAAAACTGGTGCAGTTACATTTACTGAAGATAAAGGTGGACTGTAAGCTAACTTCAAGAGCTGATGGACAGTTTTGTAGATGGTGTGGAACCATTATTTTAAATTGAAAAATACTACACAAGGACTCCACAAATGAAGGGAAGAGCTCCAATAATTCAAACACTGAAATGTTGTTTTCACTGGAAAACAAGTTGAACTGGCGGAAATCTGCAGACGCTTTACTGGAGAACAAATTGGACAGAAAACGTGACACTGAGAATGTTTTTCTAAGAACTGATAGAGTAGACTCAATTTTTGATTAAAACATTTATGTAATTTCCTCATATTGTTGCATAACCTCTGGAGGTTTATGGTGGACTGGGCTATACCACTGAAAGCTAGAGAGGGATACGTGTAAATAAAAACATAATATAATCTCCAATATGCTTGTGAAAACATAGTTTTTTCTGTAATATATTCATGACCCTCACTTTAAACAGCATCATCCATGCAACTGAGTTGGAGGTTATAAGTTCTGCCTCTTCTTTGGAGCTTCATTTGTTGAAGTCAGGTACTCTTGAAAAGTTCTATATAATTAATGCCCAACTAAATAAAGTCTGTCTTACAAAGCATTGTCTGTCTGCTATCAACATGTCTTAATATGGTGAAATGAGTGAACCCTTGATTAGGGGGTGAATGCTTTAAGTTTCAAACTCTATCTATGGTTGCAGCTGACATTTTGAGTTATTGAGTTCCATGAAAATATTTGTCACATGTTTATTTACCCTAAATAGGCAGCTAATATTGGTAGATTAATATAGATCAAATGTCACCAAACTGCTCATGTTTTTTAGGATTCTTTTGGTTGTTGAGTTTTAGGAAGTAATAAACCTTTTTATTTGAAATCGCTGTTTTCCAGTTAGTAACCAACCCACTGCATAACATAAGTCACTGTACTTGTTGCCAGGGTGACATTGGCAAGAACAGATGTGTCTTTTAAATACATTTGTACATTTTCAGCTAAAAAAACTCAAAGAACAGTTATACAAAAGAGCACTACGCAAAAAAAGGGCCGATTATGCAATTAGTTGGGAAAGCGACCTGCTGCTCAGGAAGACAAAGGGAAATAATTACAGACACAGTACTGTTTTGATTGAAACAACAGTTCTGACAATACTACAAATGGGTCAATAATTGTTATAAACTAACAGGTATTCCTACTATTATATGTTTGCTGTATTTGTTGTTTATGCATGATGTGATCAGTACATACCATAATAGATCCCTGCTTGCTTTGCATAACAGGACCACTCATTACTATTATTGTCAGAAACCCTTGGCATTGTAAATCATTACTTAATTTGCAGTCAAGTTTTCCAGCAGAATAACTGTTCTTTGCGCATATATTTATTGGAAGTTTAGTAGAAAGCACACAAGTTTATTTTAGACATATGCTAAGGTTTTATTCTCATGATTTTCTTTTTAAAAAGTATTCCCTTGTCTAAAAAATACTTTGTGCATGACAACTGAAGTAATCGCACACAAACAAAAGGATCTTCACACATATTACTTATGTTAAAAGTTTTGTGGGACATTTGAACTGAACTGATTTGAATTTATTTGGTAATAGCCCAAATGAGTGTAGTATTCACACTTCATGACCACAGTCAAGAATCATCACTGACCACAAAAGCATGAGAAAGCTAAGATCTTATTTCAGTCGTGGTCCTCCAGATACATGCAATACAAACACCCAACAAGTGGAAAACAAGCAATATGGGTAAAAATGGAAATGTAGAAAAAACCAAGGGCCCTACAATTAAATTTATGTACAAATTGGTAACCATGTTAAGTTATTTTTAAAAGACTCAAAAAATTACTTTATTTGTTTTGACAATTTAATACACCACACAGCTGCGGTATACAAGACACTGCTCTTATATAAAGACTTAAATTTGTAAGGAACACAATCTGTTAAATTTTCTTGAATGGAATAATGGCGAATATGTCTTACAAATGAAAAATCATTCATCAAAGGCTATGTTAACACAGCAGGTCCTTACACTCAATTAGGATTGACTTCTGTGTGAACAGTTTGTGATCTAAAATCGACCCGCATGCGCAGAAGAAGAATGCAGACGTCACACAGCAGTGAACTATTTACATAAGTAGTAATGGGTGCTGTCATCTATGGGTCAATTTTAAAGTTATTCAGCAATGGAAGCTGATGGTGTCGTCATAACAAAAAAAGTGAGCAACATTTGAAATAGACTGCGGGTTTTCCTACTGTTAAATAATGTGATGTATTGTAAGTGTGAACACAATGGAATTTCTACAAATACTTGAATTATTTTCCTAAATTATTTATTTTCTACTTGAAAAATAAATTTGATACACGTTTTATGTTTTTTCTTTGTAACCGATAATTCCTGTATGAAATCAGAAACACTTTGATCCATTGCAAATTTATCCAAATTCAAAATGCCGTTAGTCCAGAAAAGACAGATTGAACAACTGATTAGGGAGCAAGAAAGGTTTAGGGGCATCAGTAAATGACATCAAACTCCTGCCACAATCCTGATTTAGCGCCATCTAACATAGACTCCTATGGGACAATGGAGGGCTTGATGCCAAATATAGAATATGTGACTTGGTTACCAATGCACTCTGCGCATGGTTCTGCCTGGAGATGCATATACTGCAAAGTGTTTGTATCTAATTACTTCTGCTCTGTCCTCTGACAACTGTCCTCATATGCTGTCATCCTGAGTAACGCTTGTTGTTGCGGCACCAGACTGCTGCCAGGGGGCTTTTCTAATGTGTTGGGAGCAGCATTGTTGAGTTGTGATGCTCTAAGTAAAGAGTTGGTTATTACACCATCCTATCTTGACAGGCCAACTCCTCCGGGAGGGCAAAAGACAGGGGTGGCAAAAGGGAGAATTTTGCATAAGGTAAGAAAAGTGAGAAGACAGAAACAGGAGCAGGAGTTTAAAAACATGTCAGAAATCCTCAGGGTGTAAGCTAAATTTGTGGAAAAATAATCTTGCAGGGACCTGCACATTTGGTGAACGGGCAAGGTGCAGCGAAGTACAACAAATAAGAGAGTGTAATCTCCAGTAATCAGGCACACACAAACATTGCTGCATTCTTGGATGATTAAACACTGCACAGTTTGCTCACACATGTCTGACAAAGACCAACCTTGCCAGCCAGGTTTGCAGACCGGCTTGACGTCAATGTGCACCGGGACACTTTGCAAGGCTCTCTTCTGGCCACAATCCCAAGCCGTCACCTGGATCTCATAGTGTTGCTGTCGGTCAAAACTCAGCTTCTCTGTGTTTCGGATGTTTCCTAATGGGAAGAGAAGGTCAAAGTCAAGGTCAACCAAAAGAGCTTCTTAACAGGGCACACATATAATTGACATGAACAAATCATGAGGGAAGTGTTATAAGCAAGAAAAGAGGCAGCTGTGGCTATGTCAGTCTATTGTATTCATGTCGTTAAGGGATACTTGAAACAAGAATGAGTTGTTGTATTTTGTGTGTTTGTTGAATAAGGATTTAGGACAGTTTGCCCTTTGTCAATGCACTCTCCTGTTTCATAAAGTTGAAACCACATAGAAACATTTTTTTTCCTCACAGTCTGAAAGTAATCAGACCAAACTGCTGCCTTAAACTGAGTAATCCTCATCATTGAGATGAAAATGAACCTTGACCCGGTGAGTTTGCTCTTCTGTGAAGGGCCATTTGTTTTTGTAGTTGCCGTTTAGTTTCTCCAAACTCCTTCCTACCGTAAGAATCTTATGACTTTTCTTGGTATTTTCATATGACTAAACTTCAACTATAAGGCATCAACCTATAGCTTTCCTGAAGTGTGAAAAACAATTAAAATGCTTCAAAACAAACTTGCAGTTGTCAGCTATTTTCAGTAACAATTAGTTAAAAGTTTATTTGACGTCCTTTCAGTGAGCTTTAAGAAATTCACATAAAACATTGACAGATTTAAGTCCCGTTTATATACATTAAGGCAGACTTTAAGCTTAATGTATATACTTTTTTATCTAATTCTTTCTTAATGGGACTGTTTCTGAAGCTTTATCAACAGTATTCATATTACATTAGATCATGATAAAACTATTGCGTTACTCTCCTCTATTCTGTTTTGGATACTGCAAATTAGTCAATCTAAATAAGTTTTTTGTCACTCATACCACACTTTATGCATGTGCTCCTACTTATTTACAAAGACAGTGTGTGAGTGTTTGCTTCAAGGAGTAATGGTTATTTAATCTTACATCATCATTATGTATCATTGTCAAATTAACTTTAATGGCTTAACGTAATCACTGTAACAAATGAGATCACAGTGGAGATGACAGGTACCTTCTATCTCCTTAAGGGGTCTGATTAACTGTAATGCTTCCCAAAATTGGGTACATGTTTCCATTAAATACTTGTCGCCTCCTCGTGTAAAGACATTGCTGCTTGTTGGCCCCCTGTTCACCTCTCAGTGGTTACTTTTCCGAAAGCAGTAATTACTCATACCCACCAGCATCAACATTAAATCTCTGATTTTATCAACATTCAGTAGAAGTGGGATTGCTGTTGTCCTGAAAATTTGTAAGCTCATTATATTAAGCACAGCCATGACTCAGTGACTAATTCTGCTTAATTCAACATTTGCTACAGCACACCTCTGGGAGAATGGGTGGTTGCCTCGTATTTGAAAATGGCATTTAGGAGTTATGTAGAGGTTTAACAAGATATTGGGGCATGAGATAATTTGATAATATTTCTTTTCAAAGGGAAGTCTGTCTCGCAGCTGCTGACAGCATGACCTTGTCCATAAAAAATAGCTGTTAGGCAGTGATTCCTTTGGACCCACACTGGCGTCATGTCAGGAAAGTGTGATGATGATGATGAAGTATTCTCTGTATTTTCTGAGTGGATTATGTGAAGTCTTTCTGCAACCAGAGATTGCTCCTAGGAGATTCCACTTATGCTTTGAGAAACCAGAGAAAGAAGAAATTTCAACGCTTTTTTTGGCATCACCACCATAATGGAGTTAGACAAGTACAAACACATCAACTGTGGTTAAACATGAACTGATCACAGATTCTTTTAAGGACAAATTGTGATTTAGAAAACATCTATTTGCAAAAGAATTATGATTTTAAGTTTTCTTCAAAATATTGTTAAAACCTCATCTCGTAGTGACAAAACCCAGCTGATTGTATCCTGTCATCTTGTGAGCTGGCTGTAGCTTTGGTAATATGTTTTGTTTCCCCCCCACCCCCCTCCCAACTCTTCCAGGTGTATTTATAAAACTATAGCACAACAAGCCTTGTTTTTGCAGTTTAAATGGTGTCTAAATCACTTGAATTTCTATTTCTAGATGTGCAACAAACTGCACAGCAAAAATCAATGTTGTTGAAAATTAAATTGTGAGTCTTGATATTCCTCCAGCTCAAAGTGATCCACTTCATTAAAATTCTGAACATTGTGCTACAATTAGACCTGCTGCATTCAGGCACATAAATCAATCCAAGTTTGACATAATAGCCTGGCAGTTTTGCTTAAATGTATTTTATATATACCGGCAGGTAAAACTAACAAAGTAAAGATCTTTCTACATACCTGTTTACTAAGGGAATTAGTTTAGTGTTTCGTTGCCAAGCAAGAATACATGTTGGTTCAGTTTTTTGAGTGAAACAGGGAGAATTTTTTACATCACTCTATTCAAGTGCTGATATGATAACACTGCACATGGTTTTTTTTGCATAGCACCCAATAAAGATATAATGAACATTTAAAAGAAATTCAAAAATCCAGCTTTGTCAAAAACAAATTACAGTGGTCCTCATTTTTTCTCAGAACAAAGGAAAACAAATTCACATGCACATGTTTGTATTACAGATGGAAATAATTCAAGTGGAGTTTGTAATGGCTACAATTTTGATGAGATTCTGGCACAAAGCATTCTGTGTCCATGTTGGTTTTCTGAGAAAAAAGAAACTATACTAGATATTTATTTAGAAGCGACTGCAAAATTCAAGAGTATCATTCATACAAATGTCTGTCTATTGTGATTCTCTGCACTTTAATTATCCAAGAAAAACTTTAACTGACCACAGTGCAAGAACAAAGCACTACAGTCCTAATTTGAATGCTAATAATGAAATATTCTTCCCATAAAGAGAGCTGGAATGCTATTCACTTATTTAGGAGAAAATATAGACTGAAAACAACAGCTAAGTAAAAGTAATCACACCATTCTCTTAAAGCTGCAGTAGGTAACTTGAGTTAAGATAAGGTTCTGCACTATGTACAATCCCAACGCTAACCCTGAGTACAGTGACAGCTTTACTTTTTGGAAATGTTCCATCCCTTTATAATTGTGGTCCAGTTTTATAACTGAACTATTCACATAAAAGTATTTAATCCTCATTTTTGCAATGCGCTCTGAATAGTCTTTACATTATTAATTGATTTAGTTTATACTGCATATTGCATCAAAAAAAAGCTTACATATTCAGCACAAGCATGAGTCTGACAAGTTGTAATCATCCTAGATTTCTTAGCATGTCAAAACTGATAAGTTCCTTTAAAAATGTAGATAGAAATAGAAAGTGATGAGATACTTGGCCTTTTTTTTCTCCAGTAACTTCTGTCTCCAGTCGTAGTGTTGTTTTCTTTTTAAGTCTTTAAGACTTATAAGTTGATAGCATAATAAATGTGTTTTACTACTTCATTTTTTTGTGGCATGTACTGAGGCATCCTGCAATGCTGAATATATTTATTCTCATTTCTACTCACCATTTCGATCTATAGCAAAAGGCGTGTTAGTGGTGGTGATCTGGTAGTTGCAGATCTGGCTGTACTGTGGCGAACAGTCCTGATCTGTGGCCTCGACTTGCAGGATGCTGTCATAAATCTTTCCTTCTGTCACAGCAGCTCTGTACTGTGGCTCTCGAAACACGGGAGCAAACTCATTCACATCATTGACCTGGATGTGTACCACTGCCCTGCAGACAACACACAGACACAGGGGAGGGGAAAGTTCAAACTAAAGTATCATCTGCATAGAGTGCTATACAGGTTAAAACAGTTTTTATTCCAACTTATGGAAATAAAAGTATTCTGCTTGTATTAAAGTAAGATGTAATGCATGCAATTTTTTCTTTATGTCACCGTTGACAAGCTATTAGTCTTAATAATTTGAATAGATTTAGCTACTGCTTGTCATGCTTTGCTGGAAAACCAGAGATGTTACAGAAAGCAAATCCAATAGATTATGAAAGTGTCCAAAAGACTGATACTTCACTGCTAACTGTCAAATGGTTTAACTAAAAATATTTGACTGCTTCAAACTGTGTGAAGTCAAAATGTTGCTGATCACAACAGTAAGATGGTAAGTGTGAAATATTTAAGATAAAAGGGTACTGAAAGCTGTGAGCATCACTATGAGTTTGGTTTCAATGTAAAATTCTGACCAAAGATAAAACAGATATTCAAGATTTTGCTGTTCAATTTTTGACCTTTCATTTTGTAATACTAAGGAAATATTGCATGGTTCTCAAGATGTTTTTTCAAAATTCATTGTTGCCTGTAAATAAATGAATTCAGCTGTATTTCAGCATCAAATAACGCCAAGCTCAACCCATGATGCCATTTTCTTTCTTAGTAACTGTCAGTCAAGCAAATAGTGTTTAATAAAGGTTTGCTGTTTGTTTTTTCCCCCTGCAACAGCAGATAAAAAAGACAAGAGAGTAAATATAAGCAGAACAGAAGATTTTTTAATGTAACTGATAAAAGGTCATGAGTTAGTTTCAAGTTTTCCAGTTCATTTAATCTCATCCCTGCTCAGTCATGCCTTGAAAAGCTTAGCCATAGCTTTTACAAATTCTATAAAACAATATCTAAACCAACAAAGAGGATTAACAGAACAAAAAATGTGCTGCAAATTAATAGCAGGTTAATTTGTATTAAATATTAATTTCCTTAATTAAATCAGACAAAAAAATGTATTCCTTTTAAAAAATGAACTTGCAGAATTAGCCCTTTGTTTAAATAATATACAGGCAGAGATGACTGATAATTAACTACTCACAAGCAAAAGTAGTGTGTTGCTTAAAGACAAAGGGATACAGATTACCATGTACCTTAGAGGATTAGCAGCTGAGCACTACAAAATCATTTGACTACAAAGATCCATATAAAACAATCCAGCTACAACTGTAGCAGACTGGAACACCGGGAGGATGGAGACATTTTCATTCTGTCTTATCTTTGTCCAGCATACACAAACAAAGACCAGTTTTTAAGCCTCAATACACCCACAATTTAATATAAATCCATCCAACAAATGGTAAACCAGTACTAAAAAAAATAAATATGTCAGAAAAAGGTAGCCTTGCTGGAAACAAAAAGAATTTAGTCACATATTTAAAGCTGGATTCATTCTAATACGTTCAGTTGGTTAATTTTTACTTATTACACATGCAGACACAGCTTTGATCAGGGCATTGATGCTATCTCAGCTGAAACTCATCACTGTCACTAACAGTTATGTTGTTCTACATTCGTGCTTTAGTTGTTTCTTTGCTCTTGTGGCTAGAAGACAGACATTAATAAATTACTTTTAAAAGCTGTTTAGCATTTTAATAACCAACTAAATTAAGTAATTAGGACAGAACAAATAGAAATTTCAGCTGGCAAATTACTTAGTAATAATTAAAGTACTTTCATGCAAATTCATTGCCGTTGCATTGGCTTTCAATATCAAGATAGCTACATATTTCCCAAAGTTTTCTCAACTCAATTTTCTCAACTAAAAATGTACATGTTGGGTAAAACGTTTCATGACATTTAGTCATAAAACTAAATGTCATTTAGTTTTAATTATTCCAAAAGTGAGCTATCGGTACCTATGATACCTATAAAATTGCACGAGCTTGCATCTATGTGGATTTTCAATGAATTTATGTTTTCGCATCCACCTGAATAATTTGTAGTTGCGCCCCTGTCACGACCTTCTAATCGCCTCCTCGTGGGACTTTCCCAGCGCGGGCTGGCATCCTGCCAAATTTACCCTTGCCTAATAAAACTGGCTATTATTGACAAAATGTCGCACAGAAACCGTAACACAATGCTACATACTGGTCAAATAAGAGGTAAACATCTTACAGAGTAGCTTTGGCGTGTTTTTATCGTGTACTGACCTGAAAGACAATAAAATAGAAGTCAGCTAAGACGACCAAAGCGCTGCCTTTAGCATCCAGATTGCGTTTGAGGCAAACCGGAACTCCGCCCCAAAACTCACCCGGAAGCAACGCCCCGCAAACAAAAGTTCCGCTTCGCCACTACTGCTCCCATCCCAAACCCCAGGAAAGCACGATAAATGCAGGCAGATTAACATGCCGAAATGCAAACAAAATATAATTTGTTAATTAAAATAAAAATATAATGAAAAAAATAGATTAAATTATACATAAAAATATTTCAAAATTATAAAACAACCAAAATAATGTGGTTGCATTTTTAGGTGCACCACATAAACATGAAAAATTACAGTAAGTCAGCTCCATTATGGACCAGAACAGCAATCAAAACTAACCTGTTTCAGGGCTTGATAAAACAAAAATGTACTTGTTTATAATTTTACTTCAAGTAGAAATAAATTATTTTACTACACCCTCTTCAAGTTCTGGACCCTAGTACAGAATACACAAATGCATACGTGGGTGACAGTGATGAATCGCTGAGCTTTAAGAAAGGTGGAATGTTAATGGTGATGCTAACAGCAGCAGAAGATGGTAATAAGATGCTCTGACAGATGATAGCAGTACCAGTGTGCACAGTAAATCCCTCAGCCAGCCTTGTTTTGTCATATTAATGCAGTTCTCACATAAACATTTCCCCCCCCGAGCTTTGCCTCTCTCCCCAAATAGTGAGTGAGCAAGCATATGCTCCGCTCCTGTGGGACTCACATTTGTGAGCGTCATTATGCATTCATGCACACGAATGAATAGAATATAACTAAATGCAGTAATTGTGAAGATGTCTCTGCGTCCATGTGAGCGTGCGTTCTCTGCTGATGGCGCACATCTGGCTGGAACAGACACCTCGTACTCTGGGGTGACTAGATATTTTTGTGTACTGTGAGTGTAGGAGTTTGTGTTTGTGAGTGTGCGTGTCTGTGGCTTCATAGTCCTAAAAGCTTGCCAAGCTGGGCCCAGGGCCGCTGTCGCTCCCCATGACAGGTGTCAGTGTGCTGGTAGGGGTTCACAACAAGTCAGAGAGACGCACAAAACAGCGAGGGCCTGTGTGACCCCAAGGGTGAGAGAATGATTATGACGACAACCAAACTGGATAGAAAGTATCGTCAGGGAGATGATTAATCAAACAGTGTCAAGCTACGTCACATAGTTATTGAGAAAGCAACATCAAAAGCCTACTTTTTTTTTAGTATCATTTATTAACAGGATGGTCTCAGTAAAACTTTATTTGTTGGAAATGACCTGTACTCTGCATGTATCATGTTCTGTGTTTAGCTTATATTATTTAGCGTGATCTGCCTTTAAAATGCTCCCTCAACACACTGATTTAGAAGACATGCAATTTAACCCCCCTGGTGTTTTACTAGTTGAAAGATGACAATAAAGAATATTTATATTACCCGGGATGCATTATCAGTCAAGAACTGGAACATTAAACCCCCGTTTGGCATCAAGCTGTGTGCTACATCAATTTAAAGATAGTTATCATGTAAAATGATCTTGCAGACTGTGGATGAAAGGCACATTACATTTTTTTTCTTTGTAAATGCAGTACCTGACTTGGTTTCAAACTCAGTTTATGAGTAACTTGCAAGAAAAATGGTAGCAGTCCCAGCCAGAGACTTCAGTCTGCAATATATAATCACATACTTCAGTGTTAACATGAATTCAGTGGTTTAAGTCTGCACTAACCTTTCTGTGACCTACAGTCATGGGTAAAAGTTCTGAAACTGAAAAAAAATCGCATTTCTCACAAATGCAAATGTAATTTTTTTTGACAGTGGCAATTTGCAGTTAGTGGAGGCTGCTATGAGAACAGATTGAAATAACTGTATAAAAAGTTAACAATATTAACTTAATCGCAAAAGTTTTGCTCTGCCTCAAAACAACCATTTCAGTGAGGTCAGGAGAAAGTGTTAGTGAGGGTACGGCAGCTCATATCACCCTGTCAGTCTGATTGAATTAGAAGAGTAGAGTGGTTGCTCTAAAAGGGAGTGGAGCCTGAAATCATCCTTCATTTGTCAACCATGGTTACCTCCAAGAAAACACATGCTGTCTTTGTTGCTTTAAATCAAAACGGCTTCATGGACGAACAGACTACTGCTAGTAGAATTTTATCCAAATCAACAATGTATCATATTGTCGAGAACTGCAAGGAGAGGTTTCCATGCTCTGATGTAAGATTAGGACATCCCCCCCAAAAAAGTACAAGTGCCAGGATTGTTTCCTGAGTAGAATTCAACTAAGGTAATGTGTTGCCACCATTGCAGAGCTTGACCAGCAATGGGAACAGAAAAGACCCAGAGGCCCATTCTCAACTATGACTAAAACATGGCCAAAAACAAAGAATGGGGTAAAAACATTATGATCTTTTGGGCTTTGGGCTTTTTGAAAATGCTAGTCCAGTAGACTTAGTTTGAACAAGGACCAAAATTGCCACTTTTGTTACATTTTCAGCTGGTGTAGTTCACTATTATTTGATGTTTTGACTGTGAGGTGGAGCTGTTTTGTTAATACTTTCTCAGACTTAGAGACAGTTGTGTCTGTGGTCATTCCTGTTTTGGTGAGGAGTTTCTGCATTGAATTCACTCCTTCATGAGAGACTAACAAGCTTTGTTTATGGTTCTGGTTGTGCTTCGATTCAACTGAAAAAACTCATTTTATAATTGAATGAAAAATGAATTATTCAAAGTGATTGACAACTACATAGGCAAACCATTAATGTAAATTCTGATTCCCAGCATTTC